AGTTTAGTTTGTCATCCATCACTTGATATCTTTTTAATCTCTTTATTAGTAAAAAGGCCGTCATCTTTGAACGATTATGCCAGCATAACTGTCATTTGATCTAAGTTTAAGGAATTATTTTGTGAAAATTGCAATATAGTATTAAATAAATGTGTATAATGTTATTATACTATTTCCAAAAAATATTATTTTAACCCTAAATTTTGAAATAATGTTGCAACCTTGGTTGGAACTGTGTGGCCACTGAAAATATTAGTTTTGACAACAACAAAAAAATAGTTTTGACAACATTTAATTTCAGGTTCGAAAACTAGATGTAGCTGACGGTCCGATTTTTAAAGCTGTCAATGGCTGTAAGTGTGACAGCCCTGGTCAAAACTCAAAATACATGAATTTTGAGGTTAGGTAATTGTGTTGGTTTTTCTAAAAAAACTTTAGTAAACATCTAATTAGTAAAAGAAAGTGAACCGTAAACAATGTTATCCCAAAACTCCTTGCTGAAACGTACTTGGCCAATGGTAGTACAATGTGCGGAGGCGCATAGAAAACCTCGATGGGTTCCAGTCGCAAAAAGTAAGATATTTCGTGTACCCAAACGTCCCGTGGTGTCAGAAGAAGAGCGTCTAGAGCTTTTACGGCTGCATAATAATTATAAAACTCAGATGCGGGCTATCAGAAGGTTCTATCACGAGGAGATGATCAAAGAAAAACAAACACGGGAGAGTGCCAGTTCGGAGATGTCTCAGCGATTAGAGGCCGAGGAATGGGCTCGGTGCGTTGAATTAAACGAGAAATGGAATGCTCAGGTCGCAATAGAACGAGAGGAGCGCAGGAAAGTGGAAGTGAACCAACTTGAGACATATGCTCTCAAGAGGATGCAAGCTATTGATGAAAAACGGGTGAAGGTAATCGCGAAAGCTTCGGAAGAAATAAAACGACAGAAGGTAAATAAACATCTTGTATATTTGTAGACAGTTTTGCTTTCTAATTGCATTCTTTTTTATAAAATCTTGTTTATCTACTGTTTCCAATAGATTTTCATATCTTTGCCTGTACTTTGAGTCTTTCTGCGGTTTAAAACTACCTTAAGCGAAACTAATAATGAGGTATTCCTATTCAGAAAAAGATTGTTTAACTCGTCAAGTACCGTCATTATAGACACAATTATAGAACAATAGGTTGCGGTCACCGGTGACCGCTTGGTGTTTGACAGTTTAAGTAAAACAACAATATTTATTACAGGAACTGAGTTCAACATTCATAACTCCGGAAAATCTGGATGCAGCCATAGAGCATGCTCTAGCGAACCCCGCAGACTATAACTTTGCCATAGACCTTAAAGGAAATAAGTATTTAGGCAGAGACACACAGATAACTAAACCAAAGGGGGCTGCATCTACTGCCAGTGCTACTGCTTAGGAGATAAAGCGTAGTTTGTATTGTAAATAACTTAGGTACAATAAAGTATATTATTTAAGAATTTGTGTTTATTTTTCATCTTTATTGAGAATATATGTAACTACATAGATCCTGTCCTGGGGGTTAACTCTTGAATCCAATTCCAATCGGTCGTCATTTGTCTAAATGCTATTTTAACAGCTACAATTGTGGTTGTATTAATTATAATTATTGAGACTTTATTGGATTAAAATGCATTGACTTTGAGATTGGTTTCAAGAGTAAGCACCCTGGTCCCTATCTTCCCTAATACACATACATGAACAGATTTTTTTCAATAATGCATTTTTAAATGTATCTTTATCTGCTAACAGGTGCATATCATATCTTATGTCCAAATACTGAATTTTAAGACTCATTTAAGTATAGTTCTGTCACTACGAATTCTTTGTTAAAATATTAATGATAGAGATGGCACGATATTTAATTACAACTTGTAATTTAATAGCCTTTCAGTATTCATTCGTTAGTCTGATGGATTACGACAATGCAAGTCGATAAACATCTTGTACCTAAATACTTTTCACAATAAGAAAAACACAGCGTAAAATATAAATATTTATTAACATTTAACCCGTTGAAATCCACCCCCTAAATTTGGTCATACAAAAGTAGTCTCTAAACATTAGAAAAAAGGTCTATAATGTAATGTAATATTAGTGGAAAGCGGTCACCGGTGACCGCTTGGGGATTTATGGGTTAATCATTAAAACTATACAGACATATCTTGAAACATGGTCTCCCAATTGGGGACGAGGTTGAGCTTATGCTGCAAGGAGCCGAGAGACACCAGGTTAGCTGAACGAGATGCCTCATCCGTAGCCACTGACACAACTTCTTGGTGGAACGCTGCCTTCGTGCCTAAGCATACCTGTAAATGTAAAATCTCCTTGATGAGTTTTCGCGATCGTAATTACTGATCGAGAGGTGTGAAGTTCGAATCCCTGGTCTAGTAAGTAAATATTCAAGAAGTTGCATGGCTACAGGCTCTCCAGCTACAACATGGCACTAATAACTAGCAAAAAGATTTAATATGTACGGTCAAAAGTCCATTGCCACCGTAAGACTACTATAGGTTGCGCTGCAGCGCTTACACCCACATGCACACGCATATTTTTATCCGTGTGCGAACGCGTGCGTGTGTTTATGCGTACGCACGCGTTTTTATGCACATTAATATGAAATTACTTACGCATTGCCGTGTGAACATCACTCACGGTGGCAGTGGACTTTTGACCTTTGACTGTAAATTCCTACCTGCCTCTTTAGGGGTATAAAGACTGAAAGGACTGACTGAAGTACAAAAAAGTTGAGATCAACACATTCTAGTAAAAAAACAGAAAGTACTTTCAATATCATAAACATAACATCACGCCTTTTTATCACCGAGGGGGTAGGCAGAGGTGCACATTACGGCACTTAATACCACTGTACAATGTAACACCCACTTTTCACTATTTATTACGAGTCCCATGTAATAGGGGGTGAGCCTATTGCCATATACCGACCACAATCCGAAACTCCGTGCTACTGAGATTATTTTAAAACCCAGTATTACGGGCAAAGGCCCAACCCAGGAATCGACCCCGAGACCCCATGTAATAGGGGGTGAGCCTATTGAACATTCAATATCATTTTTTTATATGTAATAGGGTGGCGTTTAAATTAAATACTAGATATTCAAGCTACATAATTATATTATATACAGTCAGATTGCTACTCACCTCAAACATAGTGTCCCCAAGTGCTAGGCTGACTCGTCCAGAGCGATGCACTCGAAGTTTGCCAATACGACCCTCTTCTAAGTCTGCCAGCCGACATCTGTTGTCTACCTGTACAGACACAGATTCCAATTAAGTATTCACAAGTACCTATACAGTGCACATAAATTAAGGTGACTTTTCTGAAGTTGTTTCCATGTGCTGATTAGTCTACTTATTTGTTATCTATTTTATAACTGCTTGTTTAGCCGAGTGATCTCAAGTGCGACTGCCAGGTAAGGGGCCTCGGGTTCAATTCCTGGGTTGGCACAGTATAACTAGGGTTTAAACTAAAAATTCTCGGTAGGAGCACGGAGTCATGAAACGTGCCCGGTATATGGGCAATAAGCTCACCCCTATAACATGGGACTCATAAAAAAGGTGATATGCAAGGGCAGGTCAAAGAGCTGAAGACTTAGACTTAGTTGCGAACTATTAATGAATCCTGTATTCAGCATTAGACGAAAACGAATTGATAATTATGATTACCTACATACGGAAACAGTAAGCATACAAACTTTTTAGCTTCCTTTAGATTTCCATTCATGCATCTGGTTAACACATAATATTTATGTACATACATACTCTTAATCAGCGGTCTTACAAAGACCATTCGTTAGGAGTATTTATATTACAGGCTAAATCAACAGAGGGGTTCTTTGATGATAAGCATAAAGCGCCGCGCGCTGCTCTTGGCCACCCGCAAAACCAGAGCCTCGACATTTATAACGAGAAAATTCGATGAAGACGGAATGCACTTAAGTATATCTACCTACTACCTATCCCTAGGTGAAAACCACGATTAGCATAATAGCATAGCACCCAAACAATCCTTTATCACTGATAAGGGAAACATCAAATTTATTATTCATTTATAATGACTCATTAGTCGCTATTGAAGTGAATCAGTTTCACAATATTTCGTGCATCGTGCGTCATTCCTTAGTAGGCTATTGTTGTTTCAACAATGGATTACAAGTCAGGTTGGCCGAGTGGTCTAAGGCGCCAGGTTTAAGTTCTGGTTCCCGAGAGGGAGCGTGGGTTCGAACCCCACACCTGACAAATGTGGAAATATTTTTATACAAATTGTTACCTAATTTTTATATTCAAAGTTCTAAGAAAGTAGTCAAGGTCATTGTATAAGTCAACAAATCTTAATCGACAAGTTTGCATGGAAATAGTTTGTATCTAGATAGAGCGAAAGAGATAGGTACTATGGCAGAGACCTGTCATTAGGTGTCCCATAGCCTCTAGGTACACCGTGGAAGACAGGCATGGACGGCATGTGTGTGCAGTGCAGGGTAACAAAATAGCTATATTTTATAGCCATAACTTACTGGTTTTTCCTCCTTATCTTCGCTGGATGTGGAAGGCTCCTCGTTCACATTAGCCCTTCGTCGAGGCATGTCATCCTCCATCCTGCCACCGCGGCCTGGCAGTGTATCTGGCAACTGTATGTTTAAATATCGTTTGAAATTTGATCTACCATTACATAGTTATTATAATTTGAAGTGTTATTAACTCGTCGAGTACCGGTTTTGTAGACACAATTAAAGAACAATAGGTTGCGGTCACCGGTGACCGCTTGGTGTTTGACAGTTTAAAAGAGTGAACATTCATTTTTTTTTCTTAAAACAGTATTATACTAATTAATAACAACTTAAAATACCAAGGGTTCTAAGTATAACATTATACAAAATTTCATTGAAATTGACACAATAAACTATCTACCTTCTAATGGTCTCTAAATAAAAATTAATTTGGTGAGTACCTACACATAAGTAGGACACTCTTAAAAACTACTAATGCCACCTGAATTACTAGTGGAGGTAATAACACATTTCAGCAAATTCAACCTAAAGTCTTATACAAAAAGTACAAAATTCATTCTCACCTGCAATAATATAAGGGTAGGTTGATCAGTCTTCAGTAGGTTAACAACATCAAGATCTTCATAAACGTCAGGTTTTATGTCAGGTATGGCTGGCTTCTCATCCACCTCAGTACTGACTGAAAGAAATTATCCAACTCAGTATAAACTCAGTAAATGCTTATTACATACAAATTCACCAATAACCCACTAAACTTCAGACTATTGCTGTCTCTTTTTTACTGTTGTATAGTGAAAGAGATAAAAGAAAACAGGTAGCTTTTGTAAGTAGTTTTTATAAGAAGAACAATAGTCTTAGTTTAGTTTACATGATTTTGTTATAATATTAAAGCTTTGAGAATGGACCCAGTAAAGTGATCAAGCTATTATGTTAAAAATAAATTACGAGAAATAATAAATAATTTCCAAGCCCAAGCTCTGATCTACCCAGTAGAAAGATACTTAGTTAATACAGCTAAGAACCTTCTAATTAAATATATTTAGTATTTACATACAAAGGTATATTAATGTAAATACTAAATACATATATATGCAAGAAAAAGTGCTTAATCAATTGATTAAATTCTCTTTACACAGTAAAATAATCCTTCGCCATAAACAAATGCAAACCATAAATGCGATTATTCCTTCTTAGAGATATATTTGAAAAGTTGCTTTTCAAATACATCTTCTAAAAGAATAAATTCAACGATTGATTAGATTTTGTAAATTAGAAAAGTACTTTCTATTTGCGTTGTACGCACAAAAAAGGTCACGCCTTTGTAGGGTAGGCAGAAACCACAGACCATTGTTTAATGCAAAGTTTAATCTGACAAATATTTATTTTATAAAATCCAATCAAACGATTACAAAACAAATATCAAATCCGAATACACAATAAATGCATCGAAAGTGAAGCCTTACATTACAGCTAGTCTCTACAACCCATCTGTGGGTAAATTTGGCTCAGGGAAGTAAGCTCTATATGAAATGTATCAAAAATCTACATCTATACTTAGGCCAAGACCACTGTGAAATGTTTGTAAACATGCCAAATAGATAACTCTACTTGTGAAACAGGAAGAGTACCTAACCATGGAGTTTCTTACTTGTTCTTCTTCATAGGTATTTACTCTTTGGAATGCGCAAATACCTTCACTACAAGACTTAGTATAATATTAGTATTATATTATTAGTATAATACTGTTTTAAGAAAAAAAAATGAATGTTCACTCTTTTAAACTGTCAAACACCAAGCGGTCACCGGTGACCGCAACCTATTGTTCTTTAATTGTGTCTATAATGACGGTACTCGACGAGTTAAATATTATTTTTGATGTTCAGATGTACCTTTTTTGGCCTTATTGAGATTTATGATTTAACTATGACCTT